GTGTGTGTGTGTGTGTGTGTGTGTGTGTGTGTGTGTGTGTGTGTGTGAAGGACTGTGAGGCAAGAGTCATCGTCCCTGCCCCCTAAACCCCTTCTCCATTCACTTTGCCTTTGGGCAATTTCCGCCAGAACCTGGGTGGGGGAAGGTGGGGTTCCGGTGTTGAAATGGCATCCTGGACAGACATAAACACCCCACCCTCTGCCCACTTGCCAAGGGCCTGTGCCTATACCAACTCCCAGCTCTGGGGATGGCAATATAACAAGGGTTAGGGTTAGGGTTAGGGTTAGGGGGCAGGGGCTAGGGGAGATCCTCCTTCGAAAGGACAATGTAAAGTTCTCACCAATTTTGTGGTGAGTCAAAGAGTGGATCCCATATTAAATAGCTGTGATAGGCCAACCTTGTGGTGATCTAAGGTCATCCAGTCCTATGCTCTGTCCTTCTATAAGTCTCCCTCACCCACCCAGCCTGCCTGCCCTCACTTACGTGGCAAAGGTAGGGTGTGGTGTCTGGCCCTAAGAGATGAGGAGGTCCCTGTCACATCTACTTGAAGTCTCTGGCCGAAGGCAGGGAGAACAGATGAGGGTGAGATGGGTGTCGGGGAACAGGGAGGTGGGATGAGGAGAGAGGTTGACAGGAGAAGATGAAGGTGGGGTGAGGGGTTACTGAGAATGTTGAGCTATCCAAGAAGAGAGGGACCTCCAAGTTCAACTTGTCTCACTCCCTGGTTTTACAAATGAGGAAACAGAGGCTCAGAGAAATGTGATGGCTTGCCCAACATCATGCTGCTGCCCTGTGGCAGAGCTGCAGCTAGAGCCCAGATCCAAAGAAAGGGGGCTGGAGGGAAGTGTGTATTCAAGCCTCTAAAGAAATATTCCTTAGAAGAGAAAAGAGACTGAGATTCAGAACTTCCCTGGTGGCACAGTGGCTAAGAATCCACCTGCCAATGCGGGGGACGTGGGTTCGAGCCCCGATCGGGGAAGATCCCACATGCTGCGGAGCACCTAAGCCCGTGAGCCACAACTACTGAAGCCCGTGCGCCTAGAGCCCATGCTCCGCAACAAGAGAAGCCACTGCGGTGAGAAGCCCGTGCACTGCCAATGAAGAGTAGGCCCCGCTCGCCGCAACTAAAGAAAGCCCGTGCGCAGCAACGAAGACCCAGTGCAGCCAAAAATAAATTAAAAAAAAAAAAAAAAGAGTCTGAGATTCCACAGAAAGAGTTGATTGATGTCGACCGCCAATAGAGTCTCGGCGTATGGAGGAGACATGGGAGCAGGATTGGGAAGGCGCCTGGAAGGTGGGATAGGCTAGCGGAGTCGGCAACTCTAGGTACCAGACCTGACTCTGCTATCTATCAGCCTGAGTCTCAACTTCTGAATGGAACTTACAGGATCTTTGTGGAAATCAATCTCATAAACGAGTGCTTATAAACCACCAGCTCGGTTCTAGACAAATGCCAAATAAGTCTTTGCTGTGGTTATTATATGACCTCAGGAGAGAAAAGACCCCTGGTTGTGTGGAGTGGGGTATAGCCAAGATGACCCTGTGGGACACAGGGCAGAGGTCCAGTGTCTCCAAAGACCATTCCTCCTCTGCTGCCTGCTGCTGATAAACCTCTTATCTGGCCCAGGCAGGGGAGCCCAGGGCCAGGATAGGAGGAGAGGGAAGGGCTGTCTATCAGCCTGGGCCATATCTTAGAGAAGGGGAGGGGCTGTCTGCTTGGCTCTTCCCACAACACACTCCTTGGGGATCCCCAAGCACTCGCTCTCATCTTGGAAAGAAAAGACTGAGATCCTAAAAGTGAGGGCAGAGGAGGAGAGCAGGAGTGATCCCTGATGTTGCTGCAGGAAACAGGAAAAATGAAAAACACTGGATGATGTGACTTTTGTCCTGGCCAGTGATACAGTTTTGAGGAGTAAGAAGTAGGGGAAAGTGAAGGCATCTTGTCTGAAAAGAAGATAAAAACCTACTGTGCTCCCAAAGGAACTGCCTACAGCCATAGCGGGTGAGATACAGACAACACGGCAGAAAAAGGCTTTCTAGCTTAAGGAGTTTGTCCGATGATGAGTACAGCATGAATGGGGGTGGGGTAGGGCGGGGAATGAGGCATCTCCTTCCCTCAGGTGAAGCTGGAGGGAGGCTCTCCATGGAGGAGGACAAAATTGCTGACCTGTGGCAAGAGAGGCCCTAACTCCTGTTTCTCCTTTGACACAGACTGCTGGGACCATTTGGGCTTTCGGGACCTTGGACCAGGCCCTGGCCCAGTAGGATGCCCCCGTGTCCTCCCCAGCAGAGCAGGAACAGGGTGACACAGTTGCCCACTCTGGAGCTGGGTGAGATGGAATTGACTTGGCAAGAGATCATGTCCATCACTGAGCTGCAGGTGAGTGGGGTTAGGGGACAGGGGTGGGGGGAGGGAAAAGCAGAGAAACAGGGAGTCTGGCTGGGACTGAGGCCGGGGGCTGGAGCAAGCAGAGCCCAGGGTCTCAAGATGGAAATGTTCCAGGCACTGTGAAAGGAAGGGCTGGAGTCAGAGGGCGATCTGGATGGAAGACCAGAGCGTTGCGGGGGAGGGAGTGTGGATGAGCAGGAGATAGGAGTGGTGGGGAAGGAAGGATCTGATTGGGGGTGTAAGCTCTCTTGGCAGTCACTCTGCTTACGTCTCTCTGCCCCACCTCCTGTCCCGCCTTCCCTTCCTCACCTTCTTCTGTTCTGACCTCCTCCAATCCTGCCCATCTTCTTCCCTCATTTCCTCCCCCTGCCCTCAGCAGCCGGGGCGGGGTGGGGGTGGGGTCCCCTTTCCCTCAGGTAGCAGAGCTGTAGTTCTGACCTTGGGAAGGGGGGTCAGACTATGCCGGGGTCCTCTCCTCCTGCTAGTTGGACAAAGGGGTGTCTGTTGGCCTAACAATGATGCCTTTGTCCCCAGCTGGGCTGGAGCAGGGTGGCTCCCCGATGTGGGTTGGGGGCCCTTTTCCAGCACGTTCTCTCCTCCTCTCTGCACCTGGGCAGGGACAGAGGGACTGAAGGGGAGAGGGCAGAGCTTGTGCCGGCTCCCCAAGGTAACTCTCAGCCCCAGACCTGGCTCTGTGCCCACCCCCTTCTCTTCCCTGCCACCATGCCTGGGCCCTCAGGATCTGCCCTAAGCCCTCTTCCCACACAGCAGCTCCCTCTGCTGGGCACCCAGGGCATGGCCAGGGTCTGAACTTGACCCTTTGACCCTAGATAGTGGCAGCAGGAAAAGGGTTCTGAGGGTCATCCTGGAGACACTCCTTGTCTTCCTGAAGGAAATAAAGGGACATGAGCCATTTCAATACAGTAAGAACTTCTCCTGAAGAGGAGGGGATTCCATAATTGTTGCGTGACTTCCCTTCTTGTTTAAGCCACTTTCCTCGTGAACGAACTGTATCACAACTTTGCCAGAAGCTTTCAACGATACTCAGCACCGTTCTCTTCCCTTGTGCTTATCTCACTGGGTCTTTCAGGGGACCCGGCTTGGTTCTGAGAGACAGCTGGTTTCTTCTCTTCCTCAGCCTGTCTCCAAACCTTTTGGTGTCTTTTCTTGCAGGGCCTAAACGCTCCAAGTGAGCCATCCTTCGAGCCGCCAGCCCCATACCCTGGGCCCCCGCCGCCTCCAAGTTACTGCCCCTGTTCAATCCACCCGGAGGCTGGCTTTCCCCTTTCTTCACCACCTTATGAGCTCCCAGCACCCACATCTCATGTCCCAGACCCCCCATACGCCTATGGCAACATGACCGTACCAGCCTCCAAGCCGCTGACCCTCTCGGGCCTGCTCAGTGAGCCCCTCCCAGACCCCTTGGCCCTCCTGGACATTGGGCTGTCAGCGGGGCCATCCAAGCCCCAGGAAGACCCAGAATCCGACTCAGGATTATCCCTCAACTACAGTGACGCTGAATCTCTTGAGCTGGAGGGGACGGAGGCTGGTCGGCGTCGCAGCGAGTACGTAGAGATGTACCCAGTGGAGTACCCCTACTCACTAATGCCCAACTCCTTGGCCCACCCCAACTATGCCTTGCCACCTGCCGAGACCCCCTTAGCCTTAGAGCCCTCCTCGGGCCCCGTGCGGGCCAAGCCCACTGCACGGGGGGAGGCGGGGAGTCGGGATGAGCGTCGAGCCCTGGCCATGAAGATCCCCTTCCCTACGGACAAGATCGTCAACTTGCCAGTAGATGACTTCAACGAGCTGTTGGCACGGTACCCGCTGACGGAGAGCCAGCTGGCACTAGTCCGGGACATCCGAAGGCGGGGCAAGAACAAGGTGGCCGCCCAGAACTGTCGCAAAAGAAAGCTGGAGACCATCGTGCAGCTGGAGCGGGAACTGGAGCGGCTGGGCAGTGAGCGGGAGCGCCTCCTCCGGGCCCGAGGCGAGGCCGACCGGACCCTGGAGGTCATGCGCCAACAGCTGACGGAGCTGTATCGTGACATTTTCCAGCACCTGCGGGATGAGGCAGGCAACAGCTACTCCCCTGAAGAGTATGCATTGCACCAGGCTGCTGATGGCGCCATCTTCCTGGTGCCCCGGGGGACCAAGATGGAGGCCACAGACTGAGCTGGCCGGAGGGTTGGGGCTGGTGATGGAGGTTTCTCTTCATTCTCTTCTGATAAAGGTGCTCCCCAACCGTGAGGCCCAGAAGGAGCTGAGTTCTGTAGACCAGGAGGGACCACAGTGGGAAACCTGGCATTTGGAAGGTCCAAGGTGTGTTCAGTGAGGCTTGCCCGGAAGCGAGGACGTGAGGGGAGGGCTGGAATCTCTCTTCCGTGATTCCGTTTCCCAGGTCTCCAATCTCTTGTCTGAGCTTTGGTATATAAAGCACTCTACAGAAACAGCTTTCCGCTGTGTCTTCCTTCTCGAGGGAGGGTGATGAAGGGGGTGCCCTCAGAGCTCACTGCCTGCTGGTGGCAGGGAGGTAGTTCTGCTGAGCTTGCTTCTTTCCCCTACGGCTCTGTATGAGGACGTGTGGATACATGACGCTTGGGCCTGAGCAGTGTGATATCTACCACCTTCACTCTCCTTCTCAGAGCCAGGGGCCATGGGTGATTTGTGGAACCACACCTTCTCGGGTGGCCCCCTATTTATAGAGCTGGGATTGTTGCCAGAGCCGAGTAGACCCTCTGTGAGAGGTCCCTGAGTGTTAGGCCACTCCTTTTACAAACTTTGGGGCACTGGAATCCTAGAACGCCCACAGGCCGTTTTCCCCTCCTCATGCCTACTTCTACCGGACTCCCTCAGCCTGGGCCCTGATATGCCAGAGCTCTCTCAGAAGACTGAGTGAGCTGCTCTTGATTGCAATGAGAGAATTTGATTGGACACCCAAGTTTCAGGGGATTTCACACCCAGGTCTGGGTACCAAGTCTGCTCCACAGTGGAGCACAGTATGCATTTCAGTGAAATCTTCCATCTCCCTGGTTACATTAGATAGAAGTTACCCAATACTTGTTTCGGTGCCTCCGCCCCCCTTTCTAGATCCTTGAAGATCTAGGGCCTTTTATTAGTATATTTTTTCTTCGAACACGACTAAGTTTCAGAATTCTTAGCCACATGGATCAAAGTCCAGTCAAACCTCCTCCACACACCTTCATCTCCTTGCTTGGAATTGCGGTGGTTCCCACTCTTCCCAATCACTGAATTATATAAATTACATTTTGCTTCTTTACACTTCTATTCAATTTTACTAGCTCCATTTCAATAGAGAAACCTTACTTCCAAGTTCTGATATTCATTAGTTGAGACAAAAAAAGCAGACAGAAGTGATCAAACTGGAATCTTCATGCCTACAGATTCAGGAAAAAAGTGGTCTCTAGGGAATGAAAGCTTCCTAATAGATCTGAAGACAGTCCAACCTGTCAACTTTCCAAAAACCTGAACATGTGCGATCAAGTGGTAATGAGATTAGTTGTTCAATTTGACTAGTTTGCTTAAGAGATATCAGAATGAAGTTTTTCATTCTAACCAAACTCACAAAGATGGTTAATTCAGAGGCAAATTTAAACATTCATTCATTCAACCAATATTTACTGGGCACCCAATAAGCTGAGGTATCATTCTAGGCACTGGATAGTCAACAGGAGACACTTCCCATGGAGTACACCATAGCAGGCAAGACCCTCAGATACACATATTTAACAGTACCTAAGGCCAAAGACGGAAGGGTGGTCACAAGAATTTGAACAAGGTATTAATCTTCCTACAGGTTATTTCCTCATTTAAAAAATAGGGAATTTACTTTTAAGCAAACTGGTAGTCTCAGTTCTATCCCTCCAAACCATTGTTGTATGGACTTCCTTTACCTTCTTACCCTTGGCTCAATATTTTTGAAGCCTGAAATAGACCAATTAAATGTTCATTCACCCAAGATGAGATCCACTATGCCCCTCAGGAACTGAACAGATAAGCAGTTTCAGAAGAGACTCAAACTCAACAGCTGGCCTTCACTACAACTCCATTTTCCCTTGCCAGGAGAGCTACAAAAAAGACCTGTTCAAGAGGAGCAGTAGCGAACAGCTCACTTCTGGGTCAAGATTTACTCCTGCAGTGAAATTAAACCAGTTTCTCTGATTTCACTAAACCATGGATGCTGATGGGACAAACTTTAAAAAATAGCAATACACAGCATTAGAATCACTTCCAACAAACCCAGTACTTCCTCCATCTGAATGAACACGTGGCTATGCTTGAAACATGTATAATGCAGTTTTCTTTAAACAGCTTACAGTGACTACATGGAAACACTGCTAAGGAATGAGGGTAAAATTCTTCTGGTTTACCATTAACTCCTGCATTTCCCATTCTCAAACTTGACCTAGTAAAGAACATGCACTCTCTCAAGTTATTTACCATAAACATCATGAAGACGACATAGAAAACAAGAACTAAATCCAAGTTAAATGCATTTTATTTTTAAAAAGTCCATTCACAAAACTGAATGATTAATTCAAGCTGCGCAGCAGCTAATGACTACTGCATGGCAGTGAAAATGAAGTGCACAGTGGCTCAGATAAAGGTCCTCATAAGGATGGTCCTGCAAAAAAGAAAAAAGCATATACATAAGCAGGTGAAAGATTCTACAACTACATCCATTCTCTTTACTGAGAATCCAATTGCTTTAATAGCTTTTTGCCAGCTACAGTCTGTTAGATAATAGAACAATAGATCTTACTTTTTTTAGTTCTGAGGCACAGCCTGGCATTTTACTTTAGGAATACTAAGCACTGTTACTTTATAAAAACCTACCTTTTAGCCATGAGCTTGAACTGGAATTTTGTTTAAGAGTTGCTAAGCCTGCGGTAGCACACTCCTCCCTAGAAAAGTAAACAGCCTTTAAGAACTAGCTTTTCTCAGAGACAAGGTCCATCTCAGGCTAAGCCCTCCCACCCCCCACTAATGGTCCGCCCACCCTCCCACCAGCATTCTGGGGAAGATTCTAATATATTACTTTGAGCCATTGTTTTAAGTTAATAGGTCAAAAGATAGGAAATATAGAAATTAAAGGGTAAAAATGTATCACTGTAGAAGTAATTAAAGTGCTGACTTCCTTCAGTTGGGAGCCGCCAAGAGTAGGGTGTCAACTTAAGCAATTCATTTCCAGAAAAACCAAGTTCAGCTTAACTGGACTAGTTTTGGCTCAATATATTAAAGAAAATATAAGAGAAAGCTGGATTTTAGAGAGCTATATGGATGTAAGTAAAATCTGTTCTTACCTACCAGCATAGCAATAAAACCTTTTCTCCTGGTTCTGACTGCTAGTCCTAAGAGTCAGGTGTGCCTTACTCTTGTCTGCCTCCTTCCTTGCGATGGTCACTGAAACTTCACTCCCTCCTAGCTTTCATGGAGCGTGCCGTGGCCTGCCCCTGGCTTATCTGTACTCCACATACCACAAGTGTCTACTCTCAGCTGTAGAGTGTCTGACCTCGGAGCCATTCGCGCTATACTTGCTAGCAGTTCCTAGTAGCTGAACATCTCTCCTGGATCTTTAAAGGCATTGTCACGAATCCTGAGGTATCTGCAAACTCCCTCAATAGTTAAGGTTCCACCTGCCATTGCAAACTCAGCCAGTATCAAGCCCATGGAACTATTACCCACACTTTCCCACCCACCTCCACCTCCCACCCAACCCCACCCAACCCCCTCCCCAAACTTCCAAGTAACACACCCATGGGATGGAATACACAGTCCTAGTGATAAACAAATCTCTATTCTACTAAGTACAATGGCACTGAAATTGAGGGTACCAAAGGGAGGGCTCAAAGGAAGCTATGTACAAATAACAATGATTGGATATTAAGTAAACTGTTATAAAGGTTTAGAAGTCATTTTCTATACAACCAACATTTTAGAATGTTTGTGTCATCTTGTGCCGTATTTAAAGGAAAACTGCAGTTAGCATGAATTAAAGTAAATAACATGGCTCCTCACCATACCCAATTTTGATCTCCATACAGATAATTACTAGTGTGTCAATCCAGAAACCTATATATACCCACCCAACCGGAACAAAAACTGCAGTTTTCCTTTAATGTAAACCTGTTTTTGTGTTAAGAGTAAATTCCTTACTGATACTGGTCAGTTTAAAAAGGTCTCCCCAAAACTTCTAATTTGTGGATTTATGGGGTGGCATTAGCCAGCATCTGGTTTCTATTCCCTGGCAGAGTTTTGAACTTGAACTGTGATAGAAGCATTCAACATTATCAGGGGTAGTGGGTAGGGAAGGTCCAAAGCTCTGCCAGTCCCAAATCCATACAGTTGTCATTCCATTCAAGAGGGTATTAAATTGTTTATTTATTACACATGATAATGGATGATACACAAGCTTCATTCCCATCTATATCTGGTACCATAATCCAATTTAGATATATTGCATATGATGTGCCAACAATCATATATTAATAATCAAAAAACTCCATGACTTGGCTTGGGTGACCCTTTTTCACGGTGAACTCCAAGGTCACAACGCAGTAACTGTCAGTTCAACTACACCAAGGTTTCAGAAGACAGTAGCTTCTCCACCAAAGCAGGTTGTAAATAAATTTTGAATGGAACCTGGCATCACCCTGAAGGAGCTCTAACTTCGCACTGTCGGGGCGGTTTACCAAAATGGCTTCAGAGGAGACTAACTGTACACAGCACATTAAAAAGACACATTTATTCAGCGCCACGATCAGACTGTTACATTTAGCAATCAACAGCATGGGTGCAAAAAAAAAAATCTACATTAAAACCCTTTGTTGGAATGCTTTACACTTTCCACAGAACAGAAACTAAAATAACCTGTTATACAATTAGTCACAAATACAGTCCTCGAGTTTTTTTGCCCATACACATGAGTATTGTCTAAAACATGTCTTCTTTGTAGCAGCTAGGCCCTGCCACCACTGTGCTTGGCTGAGTTCACAAATCTGTTGTAACCTGTAGCTTCCCTGTCACTTCTCTGGCTCTCCTCTCCTGCTAAGCTTTGTTTCCTGTTGAACAATATGGAATAAAGTTGTTAATCTAAACATATTAAGACTCAAGGCTACAATCCAATAGCAAGTTGTTTCCCACAAATTTTGCTGATCTGAATATTAACTTAATATCCACAATTTTACTGTAATTATAATGTTAACTATGTTTCACTGCTCAGCTACATTAGGGTTACTGTGTTCATTATCAATTACAAGAAAATTAAGTGAAAACAAAAAAAGCTGTTCACTTACCTGGCAGTAATCAAAACCTTCTGCCACTGCCATAGCTACTGCTGCTGCTGGAACCACCATAGCCACCTAAGAACAAATTTGTTCCCTTAAGCTTTAGGAGTATGAATAATAACGGTAATACTTTTTATATTTGGGGC